TGCCACACAACGAAGGACTGAGTCCGGAATGATGATATACAAGATAGAGTTGGGGTAACACTGATTGAAGAGAACATTTGTCCAACATCGTCTGAGATGGTTTGAGCATATTCAGCGCATGCCCCCAGAAGTTGTAGTGCATAGCGAACGGTTAAAACGTGTTGATAATGTCAAGAGAGGTCAGGGTAGACCGAACTTGACATGGGAGGAGTCCGTAAAGAGAGATCTGAAGTACTGGAGTATCACCAAAGAACTAGCCATAGACAGGAGTGTGTGGAAGCTTGCTATCCATGTGCCAGAACCATGAGTTGGTCGCGAAAACTTATGATTTCACCTCTAGCCTACCCCAACTTATTTGGGACTAAAGGCTTTATTGTTGTTGTTGTGAAGTACTTGAGCAGCCTGCGTCTTCCTCTTGTTGTGAGAGGAATTGGACCACAGATGGTTTCATCCATAGCGCTGCAAGAAACAAGCTAGCTCCTACCCGAGGTAATGATTTGGTGCTTACACACAACAAACACCGCCTGCTTTCAAGGAATTCTCGAAAATATCAAACTAGGCCAAGTCGAATGTGGGACATTGGGGGAGATGGACTTGTGACTTCTGCTCGTGTTGGCATGCTTGAAGGTGCAGATCTTTCACTTGATGAACTACAATTGAAAGAGGGAATAATTGATTCTCTCACTTGAGTCTTGCCCTTCAGTCATTCACTCCTTTAGGCTTCAGCCATGAGACCATCAGCCTATTTAATTTATGTTTCTAGATGTTATGTAATGTACTTCTGAACTGCCTATTTGCCATTTGAACTGTTTGACTATGTGGCCATCTGAGTGTTGTTAGCTCCTATTTATCATGATCTTAGTGGGCTCTGTCATGTTGCCAGTTTGTCATGGTTTGTATTTTGTAATATTGTGTCATGTTGGGAGTTTGAGAATTGAAATTGCTAAACCATACTAAAATTGGGAGACAAATAGCATTGCAAATTGGGTAAGCAAACTTCTTTACTGTTTTCATGTTTTCTTATTCTCTTCTGATTATGTCTTCTTTACTGTTTGATGTGTTTTGCAAGATGCAAATTGCAATGACATTGGGGGATGAGGATCAATCAAGAACTTGATAAAAGAGACACCAAATGGGGCAGCAGTATTCTCTATTCTGACCTCATTATCATTAATTTTTTGTCTTAACTCTACATGTACAATGGAGCACAAAACCAGCATACATCACTCGTACTAGAAGAAATTAGTTGTTTATTCTTATTTGTTGAATTATAGCACTGCTGCGAAGTTCTTATCTCAGCAAGTTCACAAGCTGGGAATTATCACTAGGAATACCTTATGTACAACATTTATACAATCTGAAGAGTTGATTGCAGCATTTCTAAATGGTAAACGCTTGTACCCGGCGGACCGGCTGAAAGTTGTGTCGGTCGCGCACAGGCGTCACGCGTGCGCATCTCAAGTGGGGCCTGTCCACCGCCCTCCCTTCACCTTATCTTCTCAGAGGCTCAAACGACCACATCCACTTAATCTCATCTCATTACGCTCCCATCTCCTCTGCTCTACAGCTCAGCTCCACCTCATCTCGCGTGCCGCCGACAAGATCCTCTGCCACCGGCGACGCGATGCCGGCCGGCCATGGCCACCACCACCTTCTGTTTCTTATATCCCTGCCATGGCTGCTCCACCAAACGCCACCGCGCCGAGCTGCGCCTGATACCGCGGTGAGCCGTGCCCATGGATGCGAGGCCGTGGAGCTGCCAGCCTGCGGCAAAGACTGTTGCATCCTCAGACCGGCGGCAATGTCCGAGGTAACGCGTTGCGACCGGTGAGATGCGCTACTGGAACAGGCGTGGAGATTTGCTTCAACTGGAGAGGGGATTTGCTTCAACCGGCGAGGATGATGGTGGGCGGCGACGGTGGTGGGCTGCGGTAAGTTTCGCCTTTTTTGATTTTTGCTGGAGACACTTTCGATTTTTGCAGGAATCGGTTTCTCGATTTGCTGCAACAGGAGAGGATAGTGCTGGGTGACCATGATAGCAGGGGTGCCATGTTTTTTTGCTGGGAACCAGCTTTTTGACCTGCTGCAATCGGTGAGGATGGTGTTGGGGCGGCTACGACGGTGACGCCATGACTTTTTTTGCTGCATTGATTTTTTTGCTGGAAACCCCTTCAATTTTGCTAGAACTATATGAGTTTTTTGTTGAAACCATGTATGTTTTTTGCTGGAACCAAATCAATGTGTTTTGCTGGAAACACATTATTGTTTGTTGGAACCGTATCAATTATTTGCTAGAACCATGTGTTTTGCTTTTCAAACTGGCGTTGCTATTTTTTGTTGCAACTGACGCGCGGCGACCCCGACGGCAGCGGCGAGCGGCGAACAGTAGGGAGCCAGCGGAGCTTCGAGGTCGCGCGGGCAAGGTTTGATGGCGTTTGTTGTGTTTTTTCTCTATGCATCGAGGCAAAAGGACCGAAGGAAAAGAAAAAAGGACAAGATCTGATGGTTTGCGGCTTCTAGATCGGTCGGCTAGCAGCCGACCAGCTGAAAGGTTGGGCCGGCCTGCCGGCGCCTAGTAGTGCCCTTTCTAAATTGCAGAAGGACATTGTTCTTATCACGATCTTATTAAGCATCTCCCCATGCTAAACTACACTTTCTAGAATGAAACTAACATATTCCAAAAAAGGCTTTCGCCCCGCTTTGTATATAACGATCATCCATAACCCGATACAAACGCACACCACCATAACACATGCACACACCCAAGACAGGATACATAGGCGTTGAGCACAGCAACACCGCCCCAAACACTACAGGAGCCACCAGGGTCCTCAACCATGGAGACGCCATCGCAAAGAGATCAAGCCGCATATGACCAACCGTGGGCTCCAAGGCAGCGCCTTCAGGAAGGTTATAACACCGGAGTGCCGCCACCATCCGACCCGAGGATCAGAGTTTCCCCTGGAGCAACACGACGGGCAATGAGGGTCGCGACGACGCCTTCAATAAGGGAACAAGCTACGCTGCCGCCGGTCCGTCCGAGGATAGAACAGGTTTTCACCCCGGCCAACACTCACCGCCACGAACGCCACACCCCGGCGACCACGCCGCCCACACGACCATGGCCACCGGGCAGCACCGAGCCACGGGCTCTGCCCATGAGCATTGCGCTCCCATCACCAGGGTCGCCGCCCCAGCATCCAAGACCTTGACACCACCTCACCCGAGCCCCGCCGCTACCCCAACCAAGGATACAAGCGGAAAGGACCCGCTTTTCGCGCCCCTGGGAGGCCCCAGCACCGAGACCCAATAGGCCGGCCAAACCTAGCCTCCATCGACCAGTCCTGCGGCACCGTGCGCGAGACGAGCTCGGTCCTGCTGCCGGGCGCGAGACAGACTCGGTCCTCCGCACCGAGCGCAGACGAGCGATGGACCACAGTTGAGAAAGGACCAACCCTTCGACGAAAGTGGCACCTGGACGACAAGGAGAGGGATCGAAGGTCGAAACGGGTTGCCTACAAACGAGTTGACGCCGGAAAGCCAGCCACCGCTGTAGCCGACCCGCCGAGTTGCCGGGATGCCGGCTCGGCGAATGGAAGCCTCCACGCCCAGAGGACAGAGCCACCTCGCCGCCGGCGCCAACAGCCGGAGCAGCAGCCATGCCGAGCCGCTGGCCCAACCCGCGCCGCCCGCCGGACACCCTGCGTCAGATCCGGCCGGAGCACGCCACCGCCATGACCACACACCCCAAGGCGTGACCAGCACCAGCACCACCCCTCCGGCGGCCCCAGCAACAACCACGCCCGCCACCCCCGCGCCCCATCGCAGATTGACGCGCACCGCCACCAGATCTGTCGCGCAAACGCAGGCGTTCCACCCCGGCACGAGCACTCACGCAGCCACCACAGCAAGGACGCCCACCCGCGCCACCGACACTGCCGTGCGCGTTGACGCTGGAAAGCCAGCCACCGCTGCAGCCGACCCGCTGAGTTGCCGTGATGCCGGCTCGGCGAATGGAAGCCTCCACGCCCAGAGGACAGAGCCACCTCGCGGCCGGCGCCAACAGCCGGAGCAGCAGCCACGCCGAGCCGCTGGCCCAACCCGCGCCGCCCGCCGAACACCCTGCGTCAGATCCGGCCGGAGCACGCCACCGCCATGACCACACACCCCAAGGCGTGACCAGCACCAGCACCACCCCTCCGGCGGCCCCAACAACAACCACGCCCGCCACCCCCGCGACCCATCACAGATTGACGCGCACCGCCACCAGATCTGTCGCGCAAACGCCGGGGTACCACCCCGGCACAAGCAC